ACCTTTTCGTAGATGGTAGGATGGCTTGATGTAAGAATACCTAAAGAAGTTAATTAGGATGATCTTTTTCTTCATCCACATGATAATGTGCGTGGACGTACATACACATAAGCATTAAATATCGTAGATCTTGCCAGCAGATACAATGAAACGGAGCTGTTGTCGTCGAACATTTTTCGGTTGTCGCTGATGGTTTTAAACTAACATGGACCTGACAATTTCAAGTAGATCTACGTAAAGGATGTTCTGGAACCATATCTGTATTATTAGCAAAGTATCACGTGTTTGTTCATGTTAGGCACGTTAATATAAATTGCAACCAGGCTGTTCTTATAACGATTTAGCTGTACATTTGCAGAACGGTTATACGATAAACAGTGTAAGAACTAATGAAGAATCGTGAAGCTAGGTCCCTTGAATGGGTAACATGGTTTCCAACAGTTATTCAAATACTAAATAAAGAAATCTAACGCTCAGTTGTGTTTAAGCCTGTTGAGACCATTCGGCAGAAGGCTATCACCGCTATCCATACAATGATTTCAAATCCATTGCCATTAAATCCATTCGAAAACACATTAGTTCGATATATGTATGCACTAAGGCAGGCAACACAGTTCTACTGACCCTTTATGGGTACATTGATGTGTGAACAATTTTACAACGGATTAATTCTGATTGACAACCAATACGCTATCATTTTCTCTTGCAGACCATTCTAATGTCTTACCATTGGCGACAAATCCACGAGGCAGACCTCTTGTGTTAGTATAATTACAAGTCATACAGAATGATCACCAATATTTATTTTAAATGCGTTGGTGAATCTTTGCTCAAGCGTGTGTCCGTTGAAATAAACATTAAATTTATCGATAATAAGACACATCAGCGTGTTGGGTGAAAGCTTCATTGTTTGTTATAGTGACCTGCCACCAATTCAGATATTAGTGGAATTGACCATTTTAAACATTCGTTTTTATGTTATACCAGATGTATTACCGATGACGGTGGGACACACTTTGGTGTTTCTTTATAATTCGATCCTTGGAATGAAATATTTGTGAAAGTATGCAGTCAAACGTCTTCTCTAGTGTCGAAAAATCCTTCAACTTCTTAAGAATCTGTTTAATGTCTTTGGTTATTTCATCATCCATAACCTTTGCGTCTTTAGTATGATAGGTGGACAACCACGAATACACGGTATTGCGATTTGCAAGCCATCCTTAACTGATGACGTATGCTTAAGTGGGATTGTCAACTGTACATCAATAACAATATATGTTTTAACTCCTGAGATGCCAGAACACCATGACACTGACATGATTCTCGAAGCCTTCATTCCGGAAATCATTCAGGAGTCTTTTCTAATGACATATTCGTTTGGAATAATTATATTATTTAATTTTTAAAATCAACTAAAGGTGCAAAGTTTTCTTATATTGCCGTGTAAGAATTTATGTTATAAATCATGCTTATGTTGCATGAAGATCCGAGACAGTCAGAAACTGTGCAACAAAAAGACCTAATAACTTACGTGTGTAAGCTTTCCCTACGTGTATTGGTATTAGTATATTAAAACGATTGTATTAGTTGTAATACTTTTAACGGTGTTGTTATAACCGGTGTGGTTGATTCGGGGAAATTGTTGAACATTCATTGTTATTATTCATTTACTAGCCAGAGTAATTATTAGTAGCCTATAGTTCGAATCGCCTCAACTGAATTACGTTAATCTCACTAATGTACAATAGTAAATCATTGTCTAATTGCAAATATCGTCAGTGTGTTAGGTGTTTGTTCTTTATCGGAATTAAAAACAACATTCTCTTCAATTTCGGTCAATATTTCATTGCCTTATATATCTCTGTTATTAACCCTTGCTGGGCGTTTCTACAATGTTATCATCCGGTGCTTCTACAATCAGAGGTTCATCTATGCGAGACGGCCTGCACGACACTTTTCACGAACAGATCCGAGACTTTAATATACACGATTTAACCCAATGTCGAGCACCTAGAACCAAGATGTAACGCAAGAAAATACAATGTACAGTATTCTCAACTGCAAATACTGTGAGTGTATATTATTTTATTGTCCGACAATTAGCTGATAATTACATTTTCTCTAAAATATTAATAACCAAACTCATGACAGTTTATAATAAACAAACCTTTTCTCCAGTCCCCATACAATGAAGTATATCATCAAATAGATTTTTTGTGTTTGAATATAATTTCTTCAGTTCAGTGCTGGCCCAAATCACTGAGCGACTGATAAGTACAAAGTATTATACAGACTGGTAAATGACCGCCGCCGAGACCATGGCGTCCTATGACGTAAAATGTATATTACTGCTTGTATATTGACTACATAGTTTATGTCTCTTTGCAAGAAAATATACTCGTATCAAACATTTAGCTAATAGCTTCTTCAATGAATGAATTACTTAATTGATCCTTGATACTTCTATATTTGCCAATTACATCACAGTCAATATCATCATTAGCGCATTGGCTACCTCAGGTCTAGTGCACAATATATAATAATGACTGTCACTGTTGTTTTTTCCCTCATACCGTTGGCATTCAATGCTGCTTCAAGATACTATTCATTAATGTATTAAGACCATCAGGATACTTTTTGCAAAAAGATACATATTTAGGTCCTCTTTGTTAAATCTAAATGTTTCACTTAAGCAAACAATTTTTAATCTTTTCTGAAACTTTATATATATATATATATATATATATATATATATATATATATATATATATATATATATATATATATATATATATATATATTCTGCTTCTAGCTATTTCTAGGTTAGAAATACTTAAATATCTACATGTTTAGGTATAGATAAAGATTTTGACTCAATTTTATCAGAAGCTTGATTTTGAAATGTTGTGCCAGACTGAGTATTAGAAGCAGTCGTATTAGGCTAAACGATCTCTCTATCAGTAGACTGCTGACTGAAAGATTTGCCTACAAAAGGGACGTTCTGAGTTAAGGAACACTTATCAGCAGCAAGAGCAGCATTTTGCAAGGCATCGATCTTACACTCTTCAACATGATTCTTAATGTCATTAGGAACACAGTTCTTGAACTCTTCACACGCGTCGAAATGACGATTTAAGTTAGGTTTGATATTTATGTCTTGGTGAAATATAGGCGGTCGTATTCTTACACCTTAGAGCTCAAGGTGTTCTTGATTGTTGATACCAGCTTGTTTTGAAGTTCGTCTATTATGCTGGAATTTAATAATCCATTCTGTAGATAAATACACGTGCTTCATATTTATAAAATTTCGGGAAGAAAGATATTCTGTGGAAATGTATTCTGGTATTTTGAACAGAACATTATAAATTGTGTTTCAATGAGGAGTTCATGCCTATTACACAAGTATACTGCATTTGCTAGGGTAATAAATTATTTGTGTTACAATTTACAAACTTGTTGACTTCACTGTTTTCTTTTGTTACATTTGTACAAGCTTACACGTAGAGCAAATTAACCAGTTCCACTCAATGACCATTTGATCATGTTGGAGATGATATTACTTAAGGATATTATCTTACATCGTGTTAATAGAATTGCAGCTATCGTCAGCCTGTTTAACAAGGCAGTCGAAAAAGGATATATATATATCTATATCTATATATATATATATATATATCTAGATATATATATATATATATATATATATATATATATATGTGTATATATATATATATATATATATATATATATATATATATATATATATATATATATATATATATATATATATATATATATTGTAAGTACATTATAAATGTTCCATTTATTTGAGTTTCTTTTGTATTTAGTTATAGTATTTGTATGTTTGTATACACTTACCTGAAACTAAACACGTAGCCCTTGATGCAGCGAGAATGATCAATACTTCTAATCCAAACATTTGTCATGCTCAACATAACAAGCGTAAATAAATATAATTATGCTACAGTCTTTCTTTTAAATAGCACACATTGTATTCTGGCTGACTATATATAGCATATCTTGCGGTGTGGACGTTCAGTGGTTGTCAAACTCTTCGACTACGAAGTCTTCTATGTCTAGTTGTTATTTATGACTTTTCACGTCCTATGTCTTCGGTCGTGATAGATGATACCAACGTAAATGTAATATCTTGTCAGCCCTATAGCTACTATTTTAATTTGTGTATGTAAATACCTGGAATAAATGAATATTTTAATGTCATGGTTTAATTTTAGTAGAGTTACTTTAATCTTTAAACTTTCATCGTGTGGGCGTGGATGCTCTTTATCAGAAGATCGTGTCTTTGCAATTGCTTGGCTGCACGATGTAATCTATCTGTAATAGTTAATGAATTACTAATTTTGATTACCTCTGTTACTTTTACCTGTAACTAAAGGATGTGATTGGGCTGATAGAACTGTTGGGATTCTCCATCAACACAGAACCTATGCTTAAATGTTCTGCTACAGAAGTCTGAAATGCGAATCAGTCTATATCTAAATAGTATGCATGACATTTTTCTATGCATATTATCGAGCCATTTGTAACTTTTTTCATGTGGTGAAATGAATATAATAATTATTAACGACGTTTAATGCGCAGATATAATGTGTCTATATATGTGTGTATATTTGTATAAAATACAAACATTTCCAGGTGACTAACTCCCATCCCCAGACTTATATATCTCTTCAATATGGATATAACGATAGAATTTAATTCATAAAGGTTAGTGTGTTTATGTGTGTTTATGATCTTAACGTAGCTTTTAACAATTTTTCTGTCATATCACTACGATGTATGCAGTGTGGCAGTTTATAGTGATGTCTAGCACTGGGGCATCATGCCCCAGACATGTAGCATGATGTCCCACCCAGTCACATTATCCTGACACCAGGCCGACCAGTCCTAACACTAACCTCTCAATGCTGAGCGTCAAGCGAGGCAGCTGTTAGTACCAGTTTTGTAAGTCTTTGGGATGACTCGACCGGGGATCGAACCCACGACCTCCCGCATACGAGGCGGACGCTCTAACCACTAGGCCACCGGAGCGGTAAAGGTAAGAAAAGCAGGGATAATATAGTATAAAACGGCATGTTGTGAAATGTGCAAAATATGTTTAAAATATTCCCTTGAACTGTAATTCCGATAGCACCAATCATACTGTACTCGGATAAAATGATCACAAAAGAAAAATAAAAAGGCTGCAACACATGTATTTGATCCAATCTCTCTACAACAAATTCTACTCAGATGAAAGATAAAAGGTAAAAGAAAAGGCAGATTGCCTTACAATTTTGTTATTGTAGTCATCAAAAACCATGAATGTTTGTAGCTGCTCTTGCAACGTTGGTGTTGAAGAAGCTGAAAGGGAAGATGATATCACATTGTTAAAATTATTTCCAAGTGCACAACTGTGTTATTTTTCACCACAAAGACCTTGTACTCAGAGTGTTTTCGGTATGTTTTTCTAAGCATATCTTGGCTTGATTGACTGCAAAATTACCTCAGACCATACATCAGAACCATGACGACCACTAGGAATTAAGTCTGGTAGAAATAATTAATTTGCTGCAAGTGTGGTATATGAATAAAACCAGTTTTGTCGTATAAATACTAAGGAATGAGAAATGGAAAATCAATTAGAAAAATAATTATTGTATGTACGAATGGAAATTAGCCAGTTCCTCTCAATGACCAATTGATCTTGTTTAACAAGATATTACTTAAGGACATTATCTTACATCGTGTTAATAGAATTTCAGCCAGTTTTGAGAACGCAGTTAAAAAAGGAAATATATGTGATAAAATAATATCACCCATCTTCTTATCATCCAAAATGGAGTTTTGCGAAAACAAATTGCTGCTCTACAAATTTTCTTCAAGTTTTTGTTTTAAACTGGGTCGAATCACACACCATATTTAAACATTAGATTTCAACAATAGCTATTTAATTAGGTAATTTGATATCTTCCCAAATTAAACGATCTATTCAATGCTTCTGTTCTTTGATTTCAACTAGTGGAAACTACATCTGCTCCAGAGTCATTCCATTCAGATGAGTTATTTAATTAGTATTGGAAATGAAAACAGTAACACCTTATCAGGTTCAATTAAATTTTTTTATCTCCATTATTTTTCTGTCTCTAAATCGTACATAGAGAATCTGAATGTTGACATAAAAGGTGATCTTGGATAACATATTATTTTCTCGTAAATAATGTTACCTTGAAACTCGATGTTAAAAAGACGCTTTTCCTTCTCACGTTTGTAAACCGTGGATAAGATAGTGCAATCGGGAAAACAATTCATCCACGAACCCCAAGAAGCATTTGCTGTGTACTGGAAAATGTCTTGATACTGGGATAAGAAAGTTCATTGAGGCATATAAGAACTGTTATGTTGTAAAATCGTAATTTATCCTCCACGCAAAAACAAGCAAGATTGCACCTTTACAAGTTTTAGGACCCAACAGATCTAGAAAAGAACACGAGGTGAAAAATACTCAGTTGCCTCTAGATTAACTTAATTAGAATTCAGTACACATGATGCATTGAGATTCTTTCTAATGTTCCAAGAATAAATTGGATCTGCTTCCATACCACCTAACGATGCAAGGATTTCCGTGAATAGGCGTCTATTCCAAGTAGTCTTTCAGGACGTCAGATGCCAACGCAACTGATGGCATTAAGCATACAGAGGACAACATCTATCAGAATTACTCTTAAAGTTTACCTTGAAGTGGAAGTCTTGGAAAGCTACAATATAAGTCCAAGTGCAGAGTTGATTCACAACAATTCATTTATTTTTTGTTCAGATAAGTGGATCTACAACTGAATAAAATAAAAACGCGATAGCAGCAGCATGGGTATCTATCACTGTCAAGCTCGCCCGGATACATATGTATATAGCAACCAAGAAAATATGCTTAAATGATTTTGTTTTGGTGGAAACCTAACACTTGCACAACGTTGAGTGATTATTGTGATATAAGATAAAAAGAAATACGCATTGTTCGACTCAGCTATCTACTATAGAAAATCGAATGAAGGCGAAGTTGCAAAATGCAGAATCATTTTCATTTGGACCTATGGCTTTAAGACAAATATTTATTCAAGGAATTGGGTGTACGTATAAGACTAATTAGACCTTTCCATCTTTTTGTTGTCTTTTCTCTTTTTAACAGAATATTAATTCTTGTATACTCGATTGCAGTTTATGTTTACTTAGGTATGGAACAGATCTCTTACTATATATATATATATATATATATATATATATATATATATATATATATATATATATATATATATATATATATATATATATATGCCTAATTTTGTATGTTAGATTTTGTTTTTCTATTGTGAGATTCTAAATAGCTTAATACAGATTCCAAGTTATAAGCGCATAGTTTAGGCAAAGATAAATTTTATCGTGCCAACGTATTTTGCATATAATTGCTGAAAAAGCAAAGAATGAAGTGAATCGTAATAAAATAACACATACTATGGGCTGGCTTTGAATGTTCACAGGAATGGAAAAGAAGATCCATATTGAATCTTAGGTTTTCGAAATTCCGTTTTTGTTTTAGATCCCTTTAATTAAATGGGAAGTAACATTAATGTTTTAAACGAGCTGATAACATGTGTTTGCAATGAAGGTTTTCAAATAAATTTAACGGGGAGTATTTGCCTTAAAGCAAGTCTCTTTTAAAGCCTTCACTCTACCCGACCATTATCTATCTTACAAAATAGAGAACTAGTCTGTTAATGAGCGATTGAAAAAAGTGAACAAAATATTTTGAGATGAATGCACTGACTGGTAAATGTATATAGTATGTTTCTGTTAGAGAGTTCATTGATTTCAATTTATGGACTAGTGTGGACAACACTATATTGACTTCTTATATATATATATATATATATATATATATATATATATATATATATATATATATATATATATATATATATATATATATATATATACACTATATGACATTTCCTATTGACAAAAAAGCATATTGTGCCTTATTGCCAGACTGTTATTAAGTGGTGAAAAGACAGTTCCCCTGATCCGGTACACGAGGCTGAAAAAATGCTTCAAAACACGTTTCCAGGCTGAGAACTATTTCCCTAACTCTGATGAATGGAAGCATGTGTGGTCCATATGTCAATCTAACGAAGAGATTATTTCTATTTGTGTTATATCAACGTTACTTTTATGGAAAATGAATGAGTGGTCCGATTCCTATCGAGGTAGTATTAATATGTGAATACATGTCTAGTATGTACATTTCTGTATTACATTTCAGTTATATTAGATGCTATATGAACATTTACAATATATTGGATTGTTTCTATAATACAGTAGAGGAGACATAGGCAAAATGAATATAACTATTAAAATAAACATCAGCAAGCATTACAGATCAAATTTTAGTAACATTTATTTTGTCTCAAATGTTTTCGTCACCTTGTCTGGACGTGTGCTTGTCGTGAAACAGGATATACTATTTATGAATGTAGTACATTTCCTTTTAGACATTTATCATATATTATGCTCATCGAGACTTCCTAAACTTTTCTAATCTTATTTACACATTTCTTTGCCAAATAGTAGCTGAGTAGCATCGGTTACCTCCCTTGACCATCTCTCTTAAGCATAAAAGTTACAGGTATTGTTTAGTAAATTTTAGCTACATTTACAAACTGATATAAAAGCCCTGTCTCATAATACATAATCTTTTATTTTTATGCAATGTTTTATCAGCTGTGAGTAGAATGAATTCTTTTCTTATTATTCAAAGTTTAGGTTATTTGTTGTTAATTTTGTGTTACATAATATTGATTCGTGACTCAAGTGCATGCAAATTGAATACCATTTAATTTTTGTGTAACTGAATAATTATTAACCTCAATTTACCTCCGGACTTAAGATAAGCTCAAAAATCGGTTAGTCAGCCTTAGAAACTTGTGTTACATTTTATACATAACAGTATCTCAGACTGTTTCTTTTCTTTACTACTATGTACTTTCGTGAAAATATAATTTTTAATGTCTGCTTGAAAATCCCTCTCTGTATATTTATCATTTATTGTAACTTTTTTATTTAAAACATTTCATATCGTGAAAATAATGACCAAATTAAAACGATCAGTTTGTTTTTCTCTTTTTTTTTTGTCTTTCGACACTGGTTATGAGTTCATTTTATATTCGATTTTGAACGTGTGACTGTAATAATCATCGTTGCAGTTAGAATACAGTTTACACTGTTCATATTATAAGATAAAATGACCATGGCTGAGCACTGATCGATGTGTAAAGTTTACCTAATCATTGAGGTGCACACATTAGATAGTAAATGGATTATTTGTTATTGCATTACACCCTTGATAGACTTCAATCTATGAACTTTAGTTGATAACAATATTGTCTTTTATTCTCAATCATGCATTTTACACTACCAAAGAAATAGCATATGGAATTTTACTATGAGTGTATGCTTTAAGGTGCAGCCCAAGGCATTTTAAAAAATGTTGCAAATCACCCGTATGTCAAAGTAGAAAACAATATACACTATGTCACATGAACACACATATTGAATTTTTCATTTGATTATGCCATAAAACAATTGTCGATAATCACGAATCAAATTGCAAGTTGTTATTCATGATTGAAACCTTTCTGGGAAAAACATTTGCAATGCTATTTTGTGAAAATTTAATATAAACTAATTTTTGACAGTTAACAATACTAATTCATATTATGAGTACGTTTTTCGCGTATGTGTGTGCGTGCTTAAATGTATGCACGAGTCTGTGTCTACTCAGCCAAATCATAGGCAATCCAAGTATTAAGACAATATGGTCGTAAACTAAGTCGTATAAAGGAACTCAACCGACACGTTTTGTAAAACCTAACATACTATGTGGTTATCAAAGTTATAAACTTAAATTTAAGAGGAACGAATCATTAATTAACTAAATTTAAAATAATAAAGAACCTTACTAGAATAATAGAAACATTGTCTTTCAAGTCAGCACATAC